CCTCCGCACGGGGGGCTTCCGGAAAGTACGCGGGAAGACCGCGGCTCGGCCCCCTCCCCCATCACCACACCCAGCCCCCAAACCCTCCGGCTTGGGGTTCCAGCCGCGAGGGAACCGACCAGAGAAAGGCAAGCCGCCGGCAAATTGTTCCAGGCAACTCCTGCCTTCTCCGCCGGGCACCCCTCCCCGCCTTGCGCGCCATCAGGCTCCGCACGTCTACACTCCACAGCTGCGTTATGATGGGGGGCGGGGGGAGAGGCACAAAAAGGATCTTGTTTTCAAAAGTCTCACTCAGGTTTGGGGGAGGAACTAGAGCAAAGAGGAAGCGAGGCCTGTCTTCGCCGGGGATTCGGGGTTTAATCAGCTGGAGGGGCGACAGGTCGGCACACAGTGCTCCGCCAACTCGGGAACCCTGGCCGCCGCGGCTGGAGCGCCGGCCCTGCGCCCGCGCTCTCCTGGTCCCCAAAGGCCACTAGGAGTCAGCCAGCGTCTCTGCCTCAGCCCCGGGTTCTCTAACGCGGAGCCGCCAACTCGCATAAAACAGCGCTTGAAACCGAGAGGGAGCCAGGAAAACAAAACAAAAACAAAAAACGAGCTTTCGCGTAACCCACCCTGGCCTCCCACTTCCTCAGCGGCGAGCTCTGGCCGAGGCTCCAGTTCCCTGCCGTGTAAGTTTCCTCCGGCCCGGCTCCCGCCGCTGCCCAATCAATAACGGCGACAGGCAGGCAAACTCCCATCCCGGAGCTGCGTGTTCGCGGTGCCCGCATCAATCTGGACCCAGCCAATGCCCACCACGGGCACCAGCTCCGGGCAGCCCGAGTCCTGACAAAGTTTCCCATGCCCATTTACTGGCCGGGCACCGAATGGCTGCCGAGGAGCCCCCTCTGGAGAAAGACCGGCCAGGGGTCGCCAAGGTTAGAGGCTGGCGTCCGGAGGGAGCGGAGGCGAGGGGGGACCGGGACGTAGCCTTGGGGTAACTTGCAATAGCGATCGCTCGGGGTGGGGTTGGCGCGGGGATTATCTGTGCCTTTGCACGTTCGGAAATCCCTCCCCCTCTTCTTCCCATTTATCCTCCGCTCCGAAGGAGAGATATCTCAGCATCTGGCCAGAAGGTGGGGTGGAAAGAGTGAAAGAGGGAGGGAGAAAGCGGAGAAGAGGAAGAGGCAGAGAAAGGGAGGGAGGGAGAGAAAGGGCGCGTTCACGAACACTACAAAGTTACAAATATGGCTCCCCCGTCTCTCGCCTCATCACTGCAAAGAAATGAAGACGCACTTTAAACTCGAGCCATTCCCAACTCCACCGCAGCCCCCTCCCCACGCGCTCTCCCTGGGGGCCCCGGTCCACATTTATCAGAAACTAAACCGGACTCGCGAAGCCCAAAACTTATTGTGTGTGCGCGAGCGAGAGTGAAAGGGAGGGGTGAGGTGCGGGAGGGGGTGGTGGACGGGGCGGGGGTTTTCATTTATAAAATATAAACCCCCCTTTTTGTTGTTAAATCCGGGAGGCAGCCCCTCTCCTCCTCCTCCCTCGTTAATCTTTTTCCCCAGACGGAGTCATGGGAGCAACGAGCTAGAGGGTCATTTTGCCTCGTTCTCTCCGACCCAAACGCGTGCGCCCGCTGGCCCCCGATGGGTGCACACTCGCACGCACACTCTCGCACCCACACTCGCACACGCGGGAGCACACGCACAGGTAGTCACACACCAAGGGCAGCGGCGGCGGCGGCAGCCGGAACATGCTCTGATGGTATTGCAACCCCCCAACCTTGCAATTCATTTGCAGTCCGACCCCCAAACCCACACCTCCCGGGCTCCCCCCCTCACTAAAAGTGCCTCACCCCCCCACCCCCAACGCACACACACATACACAAAGTAGGAGAATGGACCGACAGAGATATTTTTGGCAAATGCTCACATCAGAGGGCGTCCTGTTCCGCAGCTCTAAATGAATCCGTTTGTCCATCTCCATCTCTCGCGCTCTCTCTCTGCAGAGGCTCCCGCGCCGGCGGAATTCAATCAATAAACCCCGAACCCACGGCCGCGCGTTTTAGGACTTTGAAGGCTCAACCAGCTCCGCTCGGTTCTCGAGCCCCCAGCACCCGCGTCGCACACAAACCTGATCGCTGCGGAGGCGGGATCTGCGGTCGCGCGAATGAGCGGCAGGAGCTGTAGCCAATCGCCGCCGAGGATCTGGGCAACA